ATATATATATATATATATATATATATATATATATATATATATATATATATATATATATATATATATATATATATATCGTGCCGAATAGGCAGAACTTGCGATCTTGGCTTAAATAGCAACGCTCATCTTGCCATATAGGACAAGTGAAAATTTGTGTATGCAATAATTTCGCCAAAATCATTCTGAACCTAACGAAAAAAATATATTTCACTGTGTTTGTTTAGTATTAAATTATTGTAAACAAATCTAAAATATATTTAGTTGGGTTAGGCTAAAATAAATTGAGCTTGTTATAATAAGGTTAGGTAAGTTTTCTAAGTTCCTATTGGTGCAAAATTATAAATTTTTACATCAACATTAATGAAAAAAATATATCTTTGAACGTATAAGATAAAATTTTAGAAAGGACTTAATTTTAAATGAGTTCTTGCTAATTGACCAGTTTTCATATACGGCACGACATATATATATATATATATATATATATATATATATATATATAATATATTATATATATATATATATATATATATATATAATATATATACATATACATACATACATACATAAAATGTGTGTGTGTAAGAAAATAAAAGGGCCTTGTAATTAGGAAGGGAACAACCACATGTAGACAGAAACAGATGAGAATGATCTGTATATTTCAACATTGTTTACTGGTAGTGAACAGGTTATATACAACCCCTAAAACTACTGTTAGAGTCTTTAGGCTTTAAACCCAGCAAGCCAATGTAATTTCCTATATCCTGGTTGAGTAGTCCCCGCTTTGGAATCCTGGTGTAGAGATTACGTCTAAGAACATTTCTGTTCCAAGTTAAGGAAAAAATCTTTCCGAGGCAGTTTTACGTGCTTCTGTCGTCGTGATTCCCCAAATGACCCCAAGAGGTTATTCCGGGTCGAGCAGAGTCGTCCAGATCAGGTCACGAACGGCCCAGAGGATTGAGTGGGCGATTCGACTCCCCGCAAGATAGTTTTATTTAAGATGCGGAGCCCAAGAATTCTCACGTGAGATAATTTTGTGTAATTCCTGGAAAGTAAATGGTTGTCCCGGGGTCATCACGGGTTACGAGGTCACCTGACCTCACCTTGTTTTATGGGAAAATGTTTAGCAATCCTTTCTGGTATCTGGAGAGGCGAGGCACGCAAGTCGATCTAACAATTTACATAGTAATGGTGGAACATCGATGTCATTGCACAAGTTCCTGAGTGGGCAGGCTTCCAGAGGTAAGGGGAAAGGGGATTGGGAGGATTTCCTCTCAAGGGGTATGTCAGTAGTGGGTGGGGGAAGGAGTAAAGGAGAAGAGGATAAAATATGAAGGACTGTTTTCAGGGGAGAGTAAAGGTGAGAGAGTCAACGTTAGAAGATCACTTGCTACATATTGGTTTATTTTTGTTCACTGGGTTGCAAACTGTACGAGTAACGACAAAGGTTTTCACGAAGGAGATTGTAACTACAAAATTCTGTGGTGAAGGTTCTCCAGGAGTGAGCGTTCCGCTCTGCTTCATACATCCAATAGATTCAACACCGGCGGAGGTAGTATTCTCCAGCACTGGCGAAACCAGTTGTGGGACGAAGGAGATTGACTCTGCATAACACTGTGGCGAACGTTCGCCAGGGTTGAGCGTCTCGCCCGGCTGCATACACTTGATAGCCTCCACACACCAAGAGCGACATTCACCAAGTTTTGAGCCGCTGCCTGGAATATTTATGCTGAATTTTGGGAGGAGACAGTTTTCCGCTTAGTTGATGTCCTCTTGACATTTTTTTTAAATTCTGCCGTAAAGAAGTTCCGTAAAAGATTTTAAATGCGTTGTTTTACTTAGAACATTTACAAAGTTTCGTGTTAACATTCTCATGCTGCAATTTTGATGCTTACGAGTATACGATTAGAGAGCAATTAACGAACTTGTAGTTGTTCTCTTGTGAACAGTAGATCAGCACTTTGCTGTGTTCCTCGTCTCCTTTGTTCCTTGTCTTCTGTGTTGCTTGTCTCGTGTGCTCCTTGTCTTCTGTGTTGCTTGTCTCGTGTGTTTCTTGTCTTCTGTGTTGCTTGTCTCCTGTGTTCCTTGTCTCCTGTGTTCCATGTCTCTTATGTTCCTTGTCTTCTGTGTTCCTTGCCTTCTGTGTTCCTTGTCTCCTCTGTTCCTTGTCTCCTCTGTTCCTTGTCTACTCTGTTAGTTGTCTCCTCTGTTCCTTGTCTCCTCTGTTCCTTGTCTCCTGTGTTGCTTGTCTCGTGTGTTCCTTGTCTTCTGTGTTCCTTGTCTCCTGTGTTCCTTGTCTCCTGTGTTCCTTATCTTCTGTGTTCTTTGTCTCCTGTGTTGCTTGTCTCCTGTGTTCCTTGTCTTCTGTGTTCCTTGTCTCCTGTGTTCCTTGTCTCCTGAGTTCCTTGTCTTCCGTGTTCCTTGTCTCCTGTGTTCCTTGTCTCCAGGGGTTCATTGTCTCCTGTGTCCTTGTCTCCTGTGTTCCTTGTCTCCTGCGTTCCTTTCTCCTGTTGTTCCTTGTCTCCTGTGTTCCTTGTCTCCTGTGTTCCTTGTCTCCTGTGTTCCTTGTCTTCTGTTTTTCCTTGTCCCCTTTGTGTTCCTTGTCTCCTGTGTTCCTTGTCTTCCGTGTTCCTTGTCTTCCGTGTTCCTTGTCTCCTGTGTTCCTTGTCTCCTGTATTCCTTGTCTCCTGTGTTCCTTGTCTCTGTGTTCCTTGTCTCCTGTGTTCCTTGTCTTCCGTGTTCCTTGTCTTCCGTGTTCCTTGTCTCCTGTGTTCCTTGTCTCCTGTATTCCTTGTCTCCTGTGTTCCTTGTCTCCTGTTTCCTTGTCTCCTGTGTTCCTTGTCTCCTGTGTTCCTTGTCTTCCTTGTTCCTTGTCTCCTGTGTTCTTGTCTCCTGTGTTCCTTGTCTTCCGTGTTCCTTGTCTCCTGTGTTCCTTGTCTCCTGTGTTCCTTGTCTCCTGTGTTCCTTGTCTCCTGTGTTCCTTGTCCCCTGTGTTCCTTGTCTCCTGTGTTCCTTGTCTCCTGTTGTTCCTTGTCTTCTGTGTTCCTTGTCTCCTGTGTTCCTTGTCTCCTGTGTTCCTTGTCTTCCGTGTTCCTTGTCTCCTGTGTTCCTTGTCTCCTGTAATTCCTTGTCTCCTGTGTTCCTTGTCTCCTGTGTTCCTTGTCTCCTGTGTTCCTTGTCTCCTGTGTTCCTTGTCTTCTGTGTTCCTTGTCTCCTGTGTTTCTTGTCTCTTGTGTTCCTTGTCTTCCGTGTTCCTTGTCTCCTGTGTTCCTTGTCTCCTGTGTTCCTTGTATCCTGTGTTCCTTGTCTCCTGTGTTCCTTGTCTTCCGTGTTCCTTGTCTCCTGTGTTCCTTGTCTCCTGTGTTCCTTGTCTTCTGCGTTCCTTGTCTCCTGTGTTCCTTGTCTCCTGTGTTCCTTGTCTTCCGTGTTCCTTGTCTCCTGTGTTTTTTGTCTCCTGTGTTCCTTGTCTCCTGTGTTCCTTGTCTCCTGTGTTCCTTGTCTCCTGTGTTCCTTGTCTTCCGTATTCCTTGTCTCCTGTGTTCCTTGTCTCCTGTGTTCCTTGTCTCCTGTGTTCCTTGTCTCCTGTGTTTCTTGTCTCCTGTGTTCCTTGTCTCCTGTGTTCCTTGTCTTCTGTATTCCTTGTCTCCTGTATTCCTTGTCTCCTGTGTTCCTTGTCTCCTGTGTTCCTTGTCTCCTGTGTTCCTTGTCTTCTGTATTCCTTGTCTCCTGTGTTCCTTGTCTCCTGTGTTCCTTGTCTCCTGTGTTCCTTGTCTCCTGTGTTCCTTGTCTTCTGTGTTCCTTGTCTCCTGTGTTCCTTGTCTCCTGTGTTCCTTGTCTCCTGTGTTCCTTGTCTTCTGTGTTCCTTGTCTATAGCAACAGTTTAGATGTATTGGTAGACTGTTGAAACTGACGAAATGTAAACGCTAGATCCGTATGAGTCATGTAGCTCCTGGGAAACGCTGGATCCTCCGTCATCCCAAAGGGGGGATATAGTATGTGTTAACCCTGGCTGTCGCGCTGGTTCCTTCCATCAACAGCGGTTCACTGCCATCTAGGTAAAACTTGCAGTTTTTCTCTCTTCTTGTGTACTACTATTACTGCTACTGCTACTACTACCACCTCTACAACTGCACTATACTACTGCTGCTAGTACCACCACCTTGTTACTGCCACGCCCACTTTTACCTCCTTTACTACTACTACCGCCACTTCTACATCCACCACCACCGCCGCCGCCACTACTGATTACTCTCGCCACTACTATTACCGCTATTACTACCACTTTCGTCTTTCCATTCCTTACCGTATTATCTTCTGGCCTTCTCTAGTTTTCTCACCCCAGTTTTGACTTGACAATGGTCATCCTAGACCATTGTCAAGGCTCCTTTCTTGAGTGTTTTTTTTTTTTTGTGAATTCTTCCAGGCATGGTATTATGACTTTATTCTTTACTTTTTTTTTTTGTATTTTCATATTAACTGGGACTCAAAGTGTTGACCATGCGTGTAGCAGGTCCAGCGCTCTAATCACTCACCCATAGATCAGTAAATTTGCTTATATCTTCTTGTTATTCCCTCGTCAAGGCCATTCATGTAAATTATGAACAACATTGGGCCTAAAACTGATCCTTGTAGAGCTCCATTCGTGACTTAAACTGGGGTCCACTATCACTTCACACCATAATAACTTATAATTATAACCATAATGTTTAAAGGGGAAACGGGTAAGCCAGGGAAAGGCCTTGGTCAGATGACCAGAAATCTTACCTAACCTAATCCAACGTCACACCATTTATGGCGACTCTTCTTTCTGTTGGTCAGCCATAACTCCATACATGATGGAGTTACGGCCGTACTATGAGCTGCCACCTTTCTTTAATAGTGTTTTGTTTGGTACTTTATCAGAAACTTTACTGAATTACAAATAAAAGAGTAAATCGCTGAATTAATGTGGCTTTAGGACGCTCATGTTGGTAATGATGATTTTTGTTTGTCTTCTCTAGGAGATGTGGTGGCAGGTGCTGTGGCTGGCGCTCCTACTGAGCCTCCTTCAGAGTAAGTCTTGTGCCTCGTCCTTGTTCCCCGGCACCCCTCCTCCGAGGCCGCCCACTCCTCCACCCCGCCCACCACCACACCGCTACCTGGACCACGCCCTCATCCATCCATCACCACCACTCCACCCTCACTCATCCAGTAACACCTTCCTCGACTTCTACGATGGTTTGGATGACCCTGGGGAGGCGTGGGAGGAGGACGAGTCGTGGTGGGACGGTGTTGAGGAAGTAATACTCACAAATAGCTTCAACGATGGATTCTCCTACGACGATCTCTACTACGATGATCTCTACGATATCAACTACACCTGCACTGACACAATGGAGTGTGACGAGTTTGACTCCTTCCCTCCACCTCCAGACTCCATCCTTACACTCCCTCCTCCCCCAGTCCCTCCCTTTCTCCAAGGTGCTATTGGCAGACTTCAGGAGGAGGGAAGGAAGAGGAAGAAACTGGAGCCACAGGAGGTGGGCAAGGAAGAGGAGGACGAAGAGGAGGGGAGAGAATGGGAAGAGGACCAGTGTTCCTTGTGTGAGTGGGCTAGCGGTGGTAACAACACCCTCAGTCTTCTGCCTCCAGTATCAGGTTCGTCTACAACTACATTCAGTTTGTTTCCTTCAGTCACCCTTTCGTCTATATTCAGTTTGTTTCCTTCAGTCACCCCTTACATCTATATTGGATTTGTTTCCTTCAGTCACCCCTTACATCTATATTGGATTTGTTTTCTTCAGTCACCCCTTACATGTATATTGGATTTGTTTCCTTCAGTCACTCCTTACATCTATATTGGATTTGTTTCCTTCAGTCACTCCTTACATCTATATTGGATTTGTTTCCTTCAGTCACTCCTTACATCTATATTGGATTTGTTTCCTTCAGTCACCCCTTACATCTATATTGGATTGTTTTTCTTCAGTCACCCCCTTACATCTATATTGGATTTGTTTCCTTCAGTCACTCCTTACATCTATATTGGATTTGTTTTTCTCAGTCCACCCCTTACATCTATATTGGATTTGTTTTCTTCAGTCACCCCTTACATGTATATTGGATTTGTTTCCTTCAGTCACTCCTTACATCTATATTGGATTGTTTCCTTCAGTCACTCCTTACATCATATTGGATTTGTTTCCTTCAGTCACCCCTTACATCTATATTGGATTTGTTTCCTTCAGTCACTCCTTACATCTATATTCAGTTTGTTTCCTTCAGTCACTCCTTACATCTATATTGGATTTGTTTCCTTCAGTCACTCCTTACATCTATATTGGATTTGTTTCCTTCAGTCACCCCTTACATCTATATTGGATTTGTTTTCTTCAGTCACCCCTTACATCTATATTGGATTTGTTTCCTTCAGTCACTCCTTACATCTATATTGGATTTGTTTCCCTCAGTCACTCCTTACATCTATATTGGATTTGTTTCCTTCAGTCACTCCTTACATCTATATTGGATTTGTTTTCTTCAGTCACCCCTTACATCTATATTGGATTTGTTTTCTTCAGTCACCCCTTACATGTATATTGGATTTGTTTCCTTCAGTCACTCCTTACATCTATATTGGATTTGTTTCCTTCAGTCACTCCTTACATCTATATTGGATTTGTTTCCTTCAGTCACCCCTTACATCTATATTGGATTTGTTTCCTTCAGTCACTCCTTACATCTATATTCAGTTTGTTTCCTTCAGTCACTCCTTACATCTATATTGGATTTGTTTCCTTCAGTCACTCCTTACATCTATATTGGATTTGTTTTCTTCAGTCACCCCTTACATGTATATTCAATTTGTTTCCTTCAGTCGAACCTTACACTTTATATTTTCGTCAGTCCTTAAAGTTTTTTTCAGTCACACCCCATATAATTTGTTTCCCTCAGACACGCTTTACAATTTGTGTTTTCTTTAGTCACCCAGTACACTTTATTTCCTTCAGTCAGTCCTTACCGTGTACGTTTCCTTAAATCAATTTTTTTCCTTCAGTCACGCTTTAACACATACTTCCTTACAGACTTTCCTTCAGTCACACCATACAATATATTATTATGATTATTTATTTTGGTACACGTAAGTAATAATACGATATTTATTGTCTTCTATAACATTCATATAGCGAAGTGAAATATATTATTTTATGTCATGTATTCCCAATTATTATAGATGTTTTTGTACCCATCCCACGTGAAGGTAAGTTAAAGCTTTTGTACCCACTCTACGTGAAGGTAAGTCAAAGCTTTTGTACCCACTCTACGTGAAGGTAAGTCAAAGCTTTTGTACCCACTCTACGTGAAGGCAAGTCAAAGCTTTTGTACCCACTCTACGTGAAGGTAAGTCAAAGCTTTTGTACCCATCCCGCAAGTGAAGGTAAGTCAAAGCTTTTGTACCCAGTCTACGTGAAGGTAAGTCAAAGCTTTTGTACCCACTCTACGTGAAGGTAAGTCAAAGCTTTTGTACCCAGTCTACGTGAAGGTAAGTCAAAGCTTTTGTACCCACTCTACGTGAAGGTAAGTCAAAGCTTTTGTACCCACTCTACGTGAAGGTAAGTCAAAGCTTTTTGTACCCAGTCTACGTGAAGGTAAGTCAAAGCTTTTGTACCCACTCTACGTGAAGGTAAGTCAAAGCTTTTGTACCCACTCTACGTGAAGGTAAGTCAAAGCTTTTGTACCCACTCTACGTGAAGGCAAGTCAAAGCTTTTGTACCCACTCTACATGAAGGCAAGTCAAAGCTTTTGTACCCACTCTACGTGAAGGTAAGTCAAAGCTTTTGTACCCATCCCACGTGAAGACAAGTCAATTTTTTTGTACAGATCACATTTTTATACAAAAAAGTGCATTGGGAGAAGGTGAAAATTTTAATTTTTGAACAAGGGTGTTTTGTGTGGCCCACTAGAAGAATTTATTTTCGTCAGTTTTGAGGTTTGCTGTGTCCTCCGCAAATACCACCAATAGAAAATATTTTTATTTTAACCACAAGGGCAGTCTCCCATCAACGTCAGCTGTTCCCAAAAAAGAAAACGCATTCAACATCATAAATTTAATAGCTGTCTTGTCAATAACTGCCAGAACATCACATTTCTGTGACCTGAACTGCAATATCCCTGGTCATATATTTATATGTAGCGTTAAAGCTGTGTCGGGTCATTCAACACAAGTAACGGGGACTTGATTATTAGTGTGCTAATCGAGAGTTGGAAATACTGGTATCGTAGCCAGGTATTGGGTCCTGGTACTACCATACCTAGTTGTCTGCCCTCTCGTAGCCAGGTATTGTGCCCTGGTACTAGCACACCTAGTTGTCTGCCCTCTCGTAGCCAGGTATTGTGCCCTGGTACTAGCACACCTAGTTATCTGCCCTCTCGTAGCCAGGTATTGTGCCCTGGTACTAGCACACCTAGTTGTCTGCCCTCTCGTAGCCAGGTATTGTGCCCTGGTACTAGCACACCTAGTTGTCTGCCCTCTCTTTGATGTTTCTACTTTTCCTGCTGTGAACTATGATTTAGATTTAGATTTTCCCCCGAAGCGGCTGATTTATTGTGCACCCCATATCCATCCTGTGGATGATAGCGCAAGAGCATATGGATACACAATAGACCTAGAAACTAGGCCCCAAAAAGAAATAACATAAATACATCGGTATGTATTTACTAGAAACAACAGGAGAGTTGCACTCTGTTCTGGTCGTGTCGAATTACAGGTAATACATATTTTTTTTTTTGTAATATTCACATGCACATTTATCTTCAGTTGTTCAGCATGGGGCATCCGTAGGGAAATATAACGCTGCTAACACTAGCATACAAAGTTTTTCTTGTTTTTTCCAGTTCGGAGACCAGAGTTAGAAAACAAAATTAGAAACACATGTTTTTAAATGAGAACTGAAACCTCTGTTGACCAGTGTAATTGATGGAATAGAGAAAACCTCAAGTAGTCTTTGCTTCAGAACTATTAAGCCTTCTATGGCAGACATAAGAAACATTGATAAATTAGACACATGTGCAACACTTGGGTATCTTTGAGGAAACGTGTCTCCACACAGTGGCCTCATCAGTCCATACAAAGGAGAACATTGAAGAACGATGTTCTCCTTTGTATTGGACAGATTAAGCCACTGTTTGGCGAAACGTTTCGTCAATAAAGATACCCAAGTGTTGCACATGTGTCTAATTTATCAGCGTGTCGATTCCTTGAACCATTCATCTACATAAGAAACATTGCCAGAACAAATGTATAAGTTTACAAGAGGAAACTGGAACACTATCTCCACCCATATCATGGTTATAATCGGTCAGATAGCCAAAAGCTCCAGCTGCGGGTCATCATATAACTAAGACCCGCGTCAGGAAGCACTTGCCCTGTTTCCTGACACACCTTATCTAACTTGCCTCCGCCCAGCTGTGATGTGGGGCCAACGGATCTCCAACAGCAACAGCCTGAGTGAACAGGCAGTCAACAGAAAAGCTTGGCTTCAGGTCGTGCTGCGAGGGTAGAAAATTTCTCGATGTCGATCACAAGTATAATAATCCTTCATTAGGGATAAGGATGTAATATGATCCTCGCGTGCTAGAGGGAAGGAGCGAGGGATTTTTTATTTATCAAAATGGGATATATCAGCAGTGTGCTGCTGCTCTATTACTTACATAGTGGGAACAAAAGCCAGCTATGTTTCCGTCATATTCAGTGTGGGAGAGAGGGAGTGAAGATAGGGAGAGAGAGGGGGAGGGAAATGGGAAGTAGAAGAAGACTGACGTAGGAATGACGAGGAGGAGTAAAAAAAGAAGTAAAAGCACCAAAAGTTGAGTAATGAGAGACCTAGCAGGAAAATGAAACTAGCAGAGAAGCAGGTAAGCAGGCAGGTACGTAGGTGGGCAGTAAGCAGTGAGGGGACGTAAGCAGGTAGGTACACAGGTAAACAGTGAGGGGACGTAAGCAGGTAGGTACACAGGTAAACAATAAGGGGACTTAAGCAGGTAGGTACACAGGTAAACAGTGAGGGGACGTAAGCAGGTAGGTACACAGGTAAACAGTGAGGAGACGTAAGCAGGTAGGTACACAGGTAAACAGTGAGGGGACGTAAGCAGGTAGGTACACAGGTAAACAGTGAGGGGACGTAAGCAGGTAGGTACACAGGTAAACAGTGAGGGGACGTAAGCAGGTAGGTACACAGGTAAACAGTGAGGAGACGTAAGCAGGTAGGTACACAGGTAAACAGTGAGGGGACGTAAGCAGGTAGGTACACAGGTAAACAGTGAGGGGACGTAAGCAGGTAGGTACACAGGTAAACAGTGAGGGGACGTAAGCAGGTAGGTACACAGGTAAACAATGAGGGGACTTAAGCAGGTAGGTACACAGGTAAACAGTGAGGGGACGTAAGCAGGTAGGTACACAGGTAAACAGTGAGGGGACGTAAGTAGGTAGGTACACAGGTAAACAATGAGGGGACTTAAGCAGGTAGGTACACAGGTAAACAGTGAGGGAACGTAAGCAGGTAGGTACACAGGTAAACCGTGAGGGGACGTAAGCAGGTAGGTACACAGGTAAACAGTGAGGGGACGTAAGCCGATAGTTACACAGGTAAGCAATGAGG